CCTCATTACTGTAAAGTGTTGGCTTCCATTGTCTTTTACTGATCACCTATCAGCGGCAATTATCTGTTGTCCTCCATTGTTAGTTTCCACCTTTTGTTATCTTATTATGCTCTCTACCTCATAGCATTCATTCACCTGATGAAGGTATAAGCATATACACCGAAATGTTGTTTCCTCATAATAAAGAATTGACATCCATAAACTCTCTTCCTTGTGTGTATCACTTCTAAATGCCATTGAAAGACTTGGAATATGCTTTCACGACAATGACTTTCTGAAAGAAACCTGATGCATTTGTTATTGTTTTCAAGGAACATTGATGAATCTACAGTGGTAAAGTTCCAAAAAGTTCTTCAGTATCAATATTTAATTCTAAGGCGATTAACGGGATCAGGTGATCAGGCTCGCTGACTTGGTTGATATATGTCATCGATCCCAATTGCGTTGATCCATGGTAATGATATCAATCACTGGATTGTCTGATCCAGACTCGATTATTTACAGACCGCCGCCATATAGCTAGAAAAGTGCTGCGTGTTGCGTTAAACAATAAACAAACCAACAACCAACCGATAATCGAGTGTGGACCAGACAATCCAGTGGTTGACATCATGAACTTCGATCCACGCAATTGGGATACGATGACATGCATCAACCACGTCAGCGAGCCTGACCACCTGATCCTGTTAATCGCCTTTTAGGGCAAGCATGGTGTGGCGTATTTATGATAAGCGCGCATAATTGTTATGTACGGCAACAAGGGAAGTAACTCTGTTCCTACAATGTGATTTGAGAAGTAAAATAATGCTACTCTGGATCAGCTGACGTGTTGTTGGTTAATTAAGTCTTCCTACAACAAACTAACGCCACAAAACACGTCACACATGGGCTGCTGAAGACCAATTCGAACCCGGATCTTCACGGGTGTCTTGATTATGTGAGTTATTAGATTCGTATTCTTGATTATGTACTAAGCAATTAGATTCAATCAGTTAATTTGGACCATCTGTAAACGGGTTTTGAGTAACAGTTTACCGATTATGCTATTGATAACGGTAAGCGAAAGCAATTACGTGTCACAACAGTGCGATGTCCATGCATATTACATACAGAATCAACACATCTGCCCTCATTACCACTCTCTTGTTAGACAGACAAAACATTGACGTGTTTATTCGTGGAAGCTTCTTTACCGTGTACGAATATTGTAAAATGGATTAGGAACAAGTGTGAACAAAGTTCATTGATTTTGGCATTGATCACTATTAAGCACACTTCATGAAAAGTGTCCACAATTTGAAATTTGACCTTTACCTTATTCTGTTTGGTTTAAAGGAGAAATATATATATATATATTTGACCTATTGTTGCGTTTGGCGAATTTTTTTATCAATAAATATAAAGTTTTGAAACCAACCCTAAATTGTTATCACTTTAAACACGAGAGGACCCGTGAAAATCCGGGGTAGAATAGCGGGATCGGGTGGTCAGGCTCGCTGACTTGGTTGATGCATGTCATCGATCCCAATTGCGTAGATCGATGCTTATGATATCAATCACTGGATTGTCTGATCCAGACTCGATTATTTACAGACCGCCGTCATATAGCTGGAATATTGCTGTGTGCGGCGTTAAACAATAAACCAACCAACCAACCAACCAACCAAACCAAACACGAGAGCCACAACAAGTATATCATTGACAGACCTATTCCTTATAGTAAAAAAGCCAACAAGCTAAGATCAATACCATTGGTTGGTTGGTTGGTTTGTTGTTTTACGCCGCACTCAGCAATATTCCAGCATATGACGGCGGTCTGTAAATAATCGAGTCTGGACCAGACAATCCAGTGATCAAAAACAATTTCTTTCAGACTACCAAACAATAGTTCTATCTTTACTGCTGAGGCCAAGGCTATTCAAACAGCCTTGGAATATATTAAGACACAAAATACATGTAAACAATTCATCATTTTCCATGATGCTTTGTCATGCCTACAGGCTCTAAAAACGTCCGCTCAAATCATCCACTCATTCTTGATATTTAAGAATTATACAATACTCTTGCCACTGGCAAATACGACATCGTGTCATGTTGGTATTGCTGGTAACACCCGAGCTGATGCTACAGCTAAAGCAGCTCTAGAAAAATCCGTCTCTTGCATTTCGCTTCCCTACAGTGATTTTAAACCTTACATCAAGGAATATGTGAGAGGTTTGATGCAGAAACGATGGGACACCAAAGTAGGTATAAATAAACTCCATGAATTTAAGCCCAAATTAGGCTACACCTACTTGGGTTGCCAATCCAGACATGACGAGGTTGTTATGCGAAGATGTCGCATTGGCCACAGTCGCTACACACATGAGTATATCTTGAAAGGTGAGGATCCTCCGTTTTGTGTCCCTTGTGATGAGAGAATCACAGTCAAGCATGTCCTGCTTGACAGTATAGACTTTTCTCTCACAAGGGATACCTATTATCATTCAACTTCTTTAAAGGATCTTTTTAACGATGTTAATGCTCGTTTAATTCTCGATATTTTTAAAGAAATAGAATTTTTTGATAAATTTTGAATTTTGAATGTTTTAAAATAGTGTGATGTTATTTACAAATGAAACTTTTGAAGGCTTGGTTGGTTGGTTGGTTTGCTGTTTAACGCCGCACTCAGCGATATTCCAGCTATATGACGGCGGTCTGTAAATAATCGAGTCTGGACCAGACTATCCAGTGATTAATGTCATGAGCATCGATCCACACAATTGGGATCGATGACATGCATCAACCAAGTCAGCAAGCCTGACCACCCGATCCCGTTAGTCGCCTTTTACGACAAGCAGAGTCACCTTTAACGGCAAGCATGGGTTGCTGAAGACCTATTCTACCCCGGAATCTTCACGGGTCTGATCACTGGACGAGAGTTAAAACGACTGTTCCAACTATGCTGCTAGTGGTCTATAGCCTGGTTTTAATTTATATGAACTAATCTACTAAAAATCCTTTGTTTTATTATTGCCTAGGTTTGTTTTATATCTAAACTGTGATATTTACCTTACTGTTTTACTGTCCTTAGACGACAGGTCTTTAAGTGTAGTAACTACCTTGTTCTCATCGCGAAATGGCTGCAATACTGCCGATACTGCGATGTAAAATTTTAACTCACTCACTCACTCGATTGACAACATGAGCATCGATCCATGCAATTGGGATCGATGACATGCATCAACCAAGTCAGCGAGCCTGACCACCCTATCCCGTTAGTCGCCTCTTACGACAAGCATAGTCACCTTTTACGACAAGCATGGGTTGCCGAAGACCTATTCTACCTCGGATCTTCACGGGTCTGATCACTGGACGAATGTTAAAACGACTGTTCCAACTATACGCTGTATTCAGTGGCCCCAAAATCTAAATTGTGAGGTCAGTTGTAAATTTTGCAACGCAATTTTGATAATTCTGCAAACTTGTGAGCTTAATTTTCGTGAATTTTGTATTTGTGCGCCTGCTTGACTTCTGGCAGGCAATTATGATGATAAACTTTTCCACTGCACTTGAAAAATGAAATATATATAGTCACACGTTTAAATCCCACATATCAAAGTTATGCACTATTTTGACGTATTCTGCAAAGTTTTACAAGAGTTCTGCACAAAATGTAATTTTCTGCAAGGTAGGTACATTTCTGTACAGAGTTGGCATTTGTGATATATTTTCCTTTACCCGTTAGCAATATATACACTCTTCAAAAGAAGAAACGCACAGGTAGATGTTTAGTATATTTATTGTACCAAATAAAGTCGATCGGCAGCGCTGAGTCTCGGCATTTTCGAGTGAGTGAGTGTAAGTATGGTTTTACGCCGCCTTTAGCTTTATGCCAGCAATATTACGGCGGGGGACACCAGAAATGGGCTTCACACATTGTACCCATGTCGGGAATCGAACCCGGGTCTTCGGCGTGACGAGCGAACGCTTTGACCACTAGGCTACCCGACCGCCCCCTCGGAATTTCGAACTTGAAAAATGGTGACAATTGAATGACAAATTGCAGGCTTATGCTTGCCGTTTTATAGCCATCTCCACGAGTTACGACTGCCATAACTTGCACGTGCATTTTGCTTTACTGTTTTACTCCATGACCTTTTTGGACAAGTGAGTGAGTGAGTTACGTTTTACGCCGTTTTTAGAAATATTCCAGCAATGACACGGCAATGACAGAAATTGGCTTCACACATTGTACCCATGTCGGGAATCGAACCCGGGTCTTCGGCGTGACGAGCGAAAGCTTTAACCACTAGGTTACCCGACCGCCCCTTTTTGGACAAGTGTGAAAAGACATTGCAAATCGACAATGGCTGCGTTTGTCGAATGTCAGGCCACCAACATTTTCCAATAACATATATCCAATTTATATACCGGATTTTTTGTTTAGTCAGGTTCCATTAACTACATACTACTTCTGCGTTTCTTGTTTTAAGGGTGTAAATGGCATCGATAGTAACAAAATTCAGCAACCCATGCTTGCTGTAAGAGGCTACTAACGGGATCGGGTGATCAGGCTCGCTGACTTGGTTAATGCATGTCATCGTATCCCAATTGCGTGGATCAATGCTCATGATATTAATCACTGGATTGTCTGGTCCAGACTCGATTATTTTACAGACCGCCGTCATATAGCAGGAATATTACTGAGTGCGGTGTTAACCAAAAAAAACAAAAACAAACAAACGATGGAGTTAATCGTTGCTGACAAATATCAATCACTGGTCTTTTTGGTCCAGACTGATGTTACTTGCAGCCATACTGCCGGAATATTGCGATATCAAAATGAGTGTGGCATTATCAAAATGTGAACTTTATCATTGACAAATTTGACGAACAGCAGACGAATGAACACTTTCCACGCATGAACGCCCCCGACAACACATGCAGCTTTGATATGATTCGTTTTATCTACATGAAAATAAATCAATTCGGTTGATGGTGTGCAGTGCAACCTGGCACTTAAACCGTCAGCACAAAGCCACCACCATTCTTCTTGTGAAGTCGGTGTTTACCGTTCTGCAAAATGGTGGCTCTCCGGGCCATCGTGGCGTGTTTCCTTGGGGTGCATGTGTACAAGTCCTCTGGCTCTGAGTTAGGATGTCTGCATGGACAGGTGGAGGACAACATAATGGCAATATCAAATGTATACAGGGTAGACCGAGGGATACCCCTTTACAAATGCATCGCCCACTGCCAGATGGCGAACAAATGCAAGTCCATCAGCTACCGCAAAGGGTCCATGTCATGCGCTTTGGTTGACACTGATGCTCCAGGAATGCACAAAGATGAAGACGTCGTCTTTATCAAGATGAACTCCTTTCAAAAGGTATTTATCTTTATGTTGCTCTTGGGGTGGTGGTGGGGGTGGAGATTAACATGGTTGGTTGATAAGTTTGTTGTTTCACGGTTTAACGCCGCACTCAGCAATATTCCAGGACGAGTGAAGGTCCGGGGTAGAATAGGTCTTCAGCAATCCATGCTTGTGGGGGTGGGGGTGGAGATTAACATGGTTGGTTGATAAGTTTGTTGTTTCACGGTTTAACGCCGAACTCAGCAATATTCCAGGACGAGTGAAGGTCCGGGGTAGAATAGGTCTTCAGCAATCCATGCTTGTGGGGGTGGGGGTGGAGATTAACATGGTTGGTTGATAAGTTTGTTGTTTCACGGTTTAACGCCGAACTCAGCAATATTCCAGGACGAGTGAAGGTCCGGGGTAGAATAGGTCTTCAGCAATCCATGCTTGTGGGGGTGGGGGTGGAGATTAACATGGTTGGTTGATAAGTTTGTTGTTTCACGGTTTAACGCCGAACTCAGCAATATTCCAGGACCAGTGAAGGTCCGGGGTAGAATAGGTCTTCAGCAATCCATGCTTGTGGGGGTGGGGGTGGAGATTAACATGGTTGGTTGATAAGTTTGTTGTTTCACGGTTTAACGCCGAACTCAGCAATATTCCAGGACCAGTGAAGGTCCGGGGTAGAATAGGTCTTCAGCAATCCATGCTTGTGGGGGTGGGGGTGGAGATTAACATGGTTGGTTGATAAGTTTGTTGTTTCACGGTTTAACGCCGAACTCAGCAATATTCCAGGACCAGTGAAGGTCCGGGGTAGAATAGGTCTTCAGCAATCCATGCTTGTGGGGGTGGGGGTGGAGATTAACATGGTTGGTTGATAAGTTTGTTGTTTCACGGTTTAACGCCGAACTCAGCAATATTCCAGGACGAGTGAAGGTCCGGGGTAGAATAGGTCTTCAGCAATCCATGCTTGTGGGGGTGGGGGTGGAGATTAACATGGTTGGTTGATAAGTTTGTTGTTTCACGGTTTAACGCCGAACTCAGCAATATTCCAGGACCAGTGAAGGTCCGGGGTAGAATAGGTCTTCAGCAATCCATGCTTGTGGGGGTGGGGGTGGAGATTAACATGGTTGGTTGATAAGTTTGTTGTTTCACGGTTTAACGCCGCACTCAGCAATATTCCAGGACCAGTGAAGGTCCGGGGTGGAATAGGCCTTCAGCAATCCATGCTTGGCGTAAAAGCCGACAAATGGGATCAGGTGGTCAGACTTGGTTGATGCATGTCATCGATCTCAATTGAGTGGATCGATGTTCATGATGTCGATCACTGGATGATCTGGTCCAGACTCGATTATTTACAGACCGCCGTCATATAGCTGGAATATTGCTGAGTGCGGCGTAAAACAACAAACCAACTCACTAGCTTTGTGACGGCGGTTTGGCCCAGATAATCCAGTGATTAACAATAAACAAACACACATTGCAGGGGATATTGGTGACTTTGTCCTCTTGTAAGGAGTGAATTAACGCCAGTGTGAACAGTCTTTCCAGATGAAGGGTTCTGGGGCGCATCTCCTTTTTTCTTCAGACATCAAACATGCCAAAGTATTATGTATTTTTGTTAACGTCGTGAAGCTCATACAGTGCGCATCACACGCCCCCTGCTTATTTTAAAAAAAATTCTAGAAGCGCTCCTGATTTTTGTAATATTGGAGTACTGTGTTGAATGTGCCACGTTGCTAGTCGTAAGAGGCGACTAAACAGAGAACCGTTGGGGTTCAAAGACAGAATTGGCGACTTTATTAATGGAGCGGTCAGGCTCGGCGACTTGGTTGATGGCGTGTCATCATACCCCAAAGGCGTGTCATCATACCCAATTGCGTGTCATCTTACCCAATGGCGTGTCATCATACCCAATGGCGTGTCATCATACCCCAATGGCGTGTCATCGTACCCAATGGCGTGTCATCATACCCAATGGCGTGTCATCATACCCCTATGGCGTGTCATCATGACCAATGGCGTCTCATCATGACCAATGGCGTGTCATCATACCCAATGGCGTGTCATCATACCCCAATGGCGTGTCATCATACCCAATGGCCTTCCATCATACCCCAATGGCGTCGCTCGCTGGTCATTATATTAATTACTGGATTGTCTGGTCCAGACATAATTATTTACAGGCCGCCGTCATAAGTTGAGATAAGATTAGTACGGTGTTAAATAGACCCATGAAGATCCGGGGTAGAATAGGTCTTCAACAACCCATGCTTACCGTAAAAGGTGACTATGCTTGTCGTAAGAGGCGACTAACGGGATCGGGTGGTCAGGCTCGCTGACTTGGTTGATGCATGTGATCGGATCCCAATTGCGTGGATCGATGCTCACGATGTCATTCACTGGATTGTCTGGTCCAGGCTCGATTGAGGCTATTCTGTTATGGAAAATTACGGTCAAGTTTTGGTAAAGTTCTTCCCTATTGTTGGTTTTTCTTGGACTGTTCTGTCAGATCAGGGCTCTGATCTCATGTGGGGTGTTTTCCAACAAGCTGTGCATTAGTTGGGCATAACTCAGGTTAAGTCTAGTGCACATCATCCTGATCCTCAAGGAGCTTTAGAGAGATTAGATATCTTTCAGCTGCCGCTACAAAAAAACAGATATATTTTGTTTAAACTATGAGCTTATAGTCTTGCGGGTGATCAAATATTAGTTCACTGTATACATTAATTCGTGGAGAATGTGTGACTAACCTACGTTTTACATGATAACATGAAGGAGATAAATCGGGGATTTTGTAACGGTTCGTTGTGTCCGTTTGTGCACTCTGTCTATTGTTACTGTACTTGAACTCATGTAATTTATTAATATGTCTATACCTGAACCTAAAACTCATTCATAAGAGTATGCTTCTTTCGCGTCCAAACAAAATCTGTGTAAATACTAGATTCCATATCGACAATCTTGTCACGTGATACGATCATATTTCGTTGAACCCTACGACTTTACACGGCCGCTTAAAATATAGCCTCAATGCAAGTGTGCGTTTATCCGTTGTTCTTAATCAGATTTCTGGTCATGAAGTAGAGGATATTTTGTTTTGATAAGACGTATTGGTCTGCAAAACCTATGTGGTAGTTGTTTAGGGGGCACGGGTGGCCCAGTCGTCTAAGGCCCCGCGATTCGCTGTGCAGAGTTGCGTCCCTTGGACACGCCAGAAACCTATGATTGTGGGTTCGAATCCCGGTTCTCCCCGATTATGTTTCTAGGTTTGTCAGCACCATACCCGTGCTCGTGGGTTTCACCAAAGTGGTAAACGTCTGAGACCTGCATCACTTCGGGCTCTCCTCCCACATTAAGCTGACACGCCGCGATATAAGTGGAATACTGTTAAAAGCTGCGTTAAACCAAACTCACTCACTCTAATTTGTTTAAAATTGCTCGGTTTAAAAAAAAAAGATTGAATCATTTTAACGCCGCTTGGAACAGTGGTTCAGTTTTACAACGACTATTATGTGATTGAGTTCTTTGATTTTACGAAACCAACAAGACCGGATATGGTGCTGAAAAATTACAAAACATAATCAGGGAGAATCTTGGATCCTGGCACGGCCAAGGGACGCAACTATGCACAGCGAGTTGCTTCTCCTCAGCCGACTGGGCCACCTGTGTGCCCCGTTTAAAAATAATATTATTTTAAATATAAAGTCGTTAGTGTTTTGTGAATAATTAATAATTATTTTCAAGAGGCAATGTAGATACTGGTTTCGTTTCAGTCTCTGGCAGGACGCTGTTCCCAATTAAGCTGTGAGTCTGGGAAGAAATGTGTAGTGGACAGATTGCATCGGCCGTCCTGTGTGTGGGGTAAGTTAGTTATAGTCTCAAGGAATAGTCTTCTTCCCATGTGTGGCTGTGAGTCGGCATAGTGTTGACTCGGCTCAGGCCCACTGTGTGTGGGGTAAGTTAGTTATAGTCTAAAGGAATAGTCTTCTTCCCATGTGTGGCTGTGAGTCGGCATAGTGTTGACTCGGCCCAGGCCCACTGTGTGTGGGGTAAGTTAGTTATAGTCTAAAGGAATAGTCTTCTTCCCATGTGTGGCTGTGAGTCGGCATAGTGTTGACTCGGCCCAGGCCCACTGTGTGTGGGGTAAGTTAGTTATAGTCTCAAGGAATATTCTTCTTCCCATGTGTGGCTGTGAGTCGGCATAGTGTTGACTCGGCCCAGGCCCACTGTGTGTGGGGTAAGTTAGTTATAGTCTAAAGGAATAGTCTTCTTCCCATGTGTGGCTGTGAGTCGGCATAGTGTTGACTCGGCCCAGGCCCACTGTGTGTGGGGTAAGTTAGTTATAGTCTCAAGGAATAGTCTTCTTCCCATGTGTGGCTGTGAGTCGGCATAGTGTTGACTCGGCCCAGGCCCACTGTGTGTGGGGTAAGTTAGTTATAGTCTCAAGGAATAGTCTTCTTCCCATGTGTGGCTGTGAGTCGGCATAGTGTTGACTCGGCCCAGGCCCACTGTGTGTGGGGTAAGTTAGTTATAGTCTCAAGGAATAGTCTTCTTCCCATGTGTGGCTGTGAGTCGGCATAGTGTTGACTCGGCTCAGGCCCACTGTGTGTGGGGTAAGTTAGTTATAGTCTAAAGGAATAGTCTTCTTCCCATGTGTGGCTGTGAGTCGGCATAGTGTTGACTCGGCCCAGGCCCACTGTGTGTGGGGTAAGTTAGTTATAGTCTCAAGGAATAGTCTTCTTCCCATGTGTGGCTGTGAGTCGGCATAGTGTTGACTCGGCTCAGGCCCACTGTGTGTGGGGTAAGTTAGTTATAGTCTAAAGGAATAGTCTTCTTCCCATGTGTGGCTGTGAGTCGGCATAGTGTTGACTCGGCCCAGGCCCACTGTGTGTGGGGTAAGTTAGTTATAGTCTAAAGGAATAGTCTTCTTCCCATGTGTGGCTGTGAGTCGGCATAGTGTTGACTCGGCCCAGGCCCACTGTGTGTGGGGTAAGTTAGTTATAGTCTCAAGGAATAGTCTTCTTCCCATGTGTGGCTGTGAGTCGGCATAGTGTTGACTCGGCCCAGGCCCACTGTGTGTGGGGTAAGTTAGTTATAGTCTCAAGGAATAGTCTTCTTCCCATGTGTGGCTGTGAGTCGGCATAGTGTTGACTCGGCTCAGGCCCACTGTGTGTGGGGTAAGTTAGTTATAGTCTAAAGGAATAGTCTTCTTCCCATGTGTGGCTGTGAGTCGGCATAGTGTTGACTCGGCCCAGGCCCACTGTGTGTGGGGTAAGTTAGTTATAGTCTCAAGGAATAGTCTTCTTCCCATGTGTGGCTGTGAGTCGGCATAGTGTTGACTCGGCCCAGGCCCACTGTGTGTGGGGTAAGTTAGTTATAGTCTCAAGGAATAGTCTTCTTCCCATGTGTGGCTGTGAGTCGGCATAGTGTTGACTCGGCCCAGGCCCACTGTGTGTGGGGTAAGTTAGTTATAGTCTCAAGGAATATTCTTCTTCCCATGTGTGGCTGTGAGTCGGCATAGTGTTGACTCGGCCCAGGCCCACTCTGTGTGGGGTAAGTTAGTTATAGTCTCAAGGAATAGTCTTCTTCCCATGTGTGGCTGTGAGTCGGCATAGTGTTGACTCGGCTCAGGCCCACTGTGTGTGGAGCCTATCCTTAATAACGCTAGAGATGCGCCTTGTTGCGGAGGATTTGGTCAGAATATGTTAGAAGTCAAGATCAGAATTCAGGTAAGGATAAGCATAGTTATAGATAATTGTCATATATTCTTCAGTTCCCTTGTTGACCAACATGACAACAAAAATTCAACGTTGACCTAACAAGAGAAAACTGACCCGAAACGGATTGGTTAAAAATGGTGACGGACCTCGAATATTGATTCGTCACATGTTCACTATTGACATGTCACGTGATGGATATTGACATCATCGGCTAGAAAACAACATGGCGTCTGCGTGTGGCAATGTAGCGGTAACGGTTCGCCTATATTTCCGAAGATGATTTCGATTGAATCATAGATATAATGGAAACAAGACTGTCAAAAAGCTTAAATTAAGCACTTAATCAATGAATTCCGGTATGACAAAACAACACTCTTTGCGAGGTCACTATATGGAATCAAGGACGCTCGGGTCTACGGCCTCGGACCCGTCAGACCACCTCAGACTCTTGACGATCCGGGGTAGAATAGGTCTTCAGCAACCCATGCTCTCCGTAAAAGGCGACTGCGCTTGTCTTCAGCGGCGATTACAGGGATCGGTGGTCAGGCTCGCTGACTTGGTTGATACATGTCATCGATCCCAACAGCGTGGGTCGATGTTCATGATGTCAATCACTGGACTGTCTGGTCCAGACTCGATTATTTACAGAACACCGTCATATAGCTGGAATATTATTGAGTGCGGCGTTAAACAACAAACAAACAATCTAAAAGCATATTCAATAAGGCTACAAACAAAACAATCAAATAATCGTGTCTTTGTCAGACAATCCAGTAATTGAGACCTTGAGCAGCGATCTACCCTACGATGACATGCATCAACCAGGTCAACGAGTCTGACCACCCGATCCCGTTATTTGCCGCCTACAACCAGCGTGGGTTGCTAAAGATGAATTCTAACCCCGATCTGCTGTGTATTTTCAGTTTCCAGGGCATTATTACCATTACATGTCTTTTGTCTTTCACATGTATCAATATGATTTGAATATTATTATACCGATATTATACAATTGGCGTGTGATGAGCAAGAAAGGATGTAACCATACCGCTTTCTTATAAAGTTAGCGAGACCTCCTGTTTCGAAGGCCTAGTTTAGGATACGCCGGAAGCGCATTTTTCATTATGTATAATCGTAGTTGTATATAGCTTACAAGTTATATGTTAAAGGAAACGCTGCGAGACTGCTTCTGTTTCAGCCTGTAATTTGACCACTTTTCCACTTCCCCTGATACGGTTTAGCGAATAATATTTAACTTTATATTTGTCACCATTAGAAGGTTTAATTTTGCGAAAAGCATAACAATTAAAACTTAATTCGTATTAAAACAACTGAAAAGACAATGTCTAAAATTAAACGTCACGGCGTCCGTTTTACATCTTTAACTATATATATTTTGAAACAAATATTTCAGATTCAAAAACAATTAATAAATGTACAGTCCTCAACACTTTATGTAGAAAATCCCAATGTTAAGAGGCTATCTTTGTTGACGTTTTAAAATGTTGGCTATATATGAAGGTGAGCTACGGTGAACTGGGACTATTTTTGTTTGTATTGACTTAATAAAGCAAACAATCACAAACCATCAGGGTTCCATTATCACCTTGCATGACATCCGTCATGAAATCATTCACTAATAATAAGCTAGTGACTGTGAGCGAATGTATGAAAAAATTAAGTACTTGTATTGTAAAATTGCAACGCCCGGCTGGGTTTCCCAGGTGTAAACATGATGGCTAATTGGTGATATTTCTAAATATGCAACATATATTATCATGATGAAAACGTTTTTGATGATAACTGCATCTGTATCTCAGGAACATAAGGGTTGGAGGGAGGGAGGGAGGGAGGGAGGGAGGGAGGGAGGTGTGTGTGGGTGGGTGGAAGGACAGGCGGGCAGGGGAGTTGGTGTAAAGGTAGTTGGTTGGTTAGCTTCATTGTTTGTTTGTCATCTTGCCACACATGTCCATCGTAGCATTTGCTAAACATGTTGCAATAATCCATACAACTGCTTCGATCCAGTTCCGTTAAAAATAACAATGAGAGTCATAACGAACATGCGGAACTTATTAGATTCTTCTGGGGGCACCGAGTTCTTTAATTCTAACGAACAATCATTGTCGTTAGATTGGGGTTTCGATTTGTAGATTTCAACATATTACCCCATGAATGCATTAAATGTTAAGTACGGCAGTCGATTGATGTCTGTAGTTTAATTACAGCGTGAATGGTAAACTGCTTTCCGTTCGAAAGCAAACGTAGCTCTGGTGGACGTAGATGTCTCACACACACTAACCAATAGTGCGTCTACTTATGCATTACAAAGTGACACACACACACACACACACACACACACACACACACACACACACACACACACACACACACACACACACACACACACACACACACACACACACACACACCAATAGTGCGTCTACTTATGCACTACATAGTGAAACACACACCAATAGTGCGTCTACTTATGCATTGCATAGTGACACACACACCAATAGTGCGTCTACTTATGCATTACATAGTGACACACACACCAATAGTGCGTCTACTTATGCATTACACAGTGACACACACACCAATAGTGCGTCTACTTATGCATTACACAGTGACACACACACCAATAGTGCGTCTACTTATGCATTACACAGTGACACACACACCAATAGTGCGTCTACTTATGCATTACACAGTGACACACACACACACACCAATAGTGCGTCTACTTATGCATTACATAGTGACACACACACACCAATAGTGCGTCTACTTATGCACTACATAGTGACAGACACACCAATAGTGCGTCTACTTATGCATTACATAGTGACACACACACCAATAGTGCGTCTACTTATGCATTACATAGTGACACACACACACACACCAATAGTGCGTCTACTTATGCATTACATAGTGACACACACACCAATAGTGCGTCTACTTATGCATTACACAGTGACACACACACACACACACCAATAGTGCGTCTACTTATGCATTACACAGTGACACACACACCAATAGTGCGTCTACTTATGCATTACACAGTGACACACACACACACACCAATAGTGCGTCTACTTATGCATTACACAGTGACACACACACCAATAGTGCGTCTAC